AAGTTAAGAAAGCCTAGAGAACAAATGGATTTGTCAGTTAAAAATAGGAGAGGAGAGTTATTAAATGGGAGGTTAAGGTAGGGGAAGATGGAGGAATATTTTGAGGAATTTTAAAAGTTGATGGATAGGGAAACTGTGATTTCGTGTATAGGGCAAGGAGGAAAAACTTCTTGTAGGAGGGGAGGAAGAGCCAGTTGGGGAGTGTGGGGGAAGTTCGTGGGGCAGTGGGTTTAAAATGAAAGGGGTAAGGCAGCCGGGATTGATGGGATAAAAAATAAATGTTAAAAGCAGGTGGGATATAGTTTTGGAGTGGGTTTGGGGCAATTATTTAATAAATGTATGGAAGAGGGTAAGGTACCTAGGGATTGGGAGAGAGCATGCATAGTTTCCTTTGTATAAAGGCAAAGGATAAAAGAGAGTGCAAAAAATTATAGGGGATAAGTCTGTTGAGTGTACCTGGTAAAGTGTATGGTAGAGTTATAATTGAAAGAATTTAAAGAGTAAGACGGAGAATAGGATAGCAGATGAACAAGGAGGCTTTAGGAAAGGTAGGGGTGTGTGGACCAGGTGTTTACAGTGAAACATATAAGTGAACAGTATTTAGATAAGGCTAAAGAGGTCTTTGTGGCATTTATGGATTTGGAAAAGGCTTTGACAGGGTGGATAGGGGGGGCATGGGGATGTTGCGTGAGGGTTTTAGGGGGTAGGTTATGAAAGCAGGAAGGTTTTTACGGGTAGTGGGGCTCAAGTTAGGATGTAGGAAAGAAGGGGAAATTTTTTCCCAGTAAAAGTGGCCCTTAGCAAGGAGTGGTGTCACCGGGTTTTTTAATATATTTAAGAGGGGGTTTTAAGAGAAGTAAATGCGAGGGTTTTGGAAAAGAGCGTGGTTTTAAAAGATAAAGAATCACAACAAAGGGGAGTGTACAGCTGCTCCTTGTGATGACACTGGCTTTTGGGGATTCGAGGAATTTTCAGGTTGGTGGATGAATTTTTTGGGTGTGCAAAGAAAAAAATTAAAAGGTGAATGGGAAAAGAGTAAGGTTATGGGATAAAAAAGATTGGTGGAAAATTAAATTCGATTGGAGGGGGGGTAGGGAGAGGAACGTATTAGATATTTGGGAGTGGACGTGTCAGCGGATGGGTCTATGAAAGATGAGGTGAATCATAGAATTGATGAGGGAAAAGAGTGAGTGGTGCACTTAGGAGTCTTGGAAACAAAGAACTTTGTCCTTGGGGGCAAAGAGGGAATGTATGAGAGTATAGTTTTACCAACGCTCTTATAGGGGTTTTGGGAAGCGTGGGTGATGAATGTTGCAGCGAGGAGAAGGCTGGGGGAGGGGAGATGTCATGTTGAGGGCAATGTGGGTGTAATATAATGCAGGAAATTCGTAGTTTGGAAGTTAGGAGGAGGTGGGGGATTCCCAAAACTGTTGTCCAAGGGCTGAGGAAGGGTTGTTGAGGTGGTTCGGACATGTAGAGAGAATGGAGCGAAACAGAATGACTTCAAGAGTGTATCAGTCTGTAGTGGAAGGAAGGCGGGGTGGGGGTGGGCCTAGGAAGGGTTGGAGGGGGGGGGTAAAGGAGGTTTTGTGTGCGAGGGCTTGGATTTTCCAGCGGGAAAAATGCGTGAGCGTGTTTGATAGGAGTGAATGGAGACAAATGGTTTTTAATACTTGGATGCTGTTGGAGTGTGAGCAAATTTAACATTTATGAAGGGTTTTCAGGGAAACCGGCACCCGGGACTTGATTCCTGGAGATGGGAAGTACAGTGCCTGCACTCTGAAGGGGGGGTGTTAATGTTGCGTTTAAAAACTGTAGTGTAAAGACCCTTCTGGCAAGACATGATGAGTGAATGATGGTGAAAGTTTTTCTTTTTCGGGCCCCCCTGCCTTGGGGGGAATCGGCCGGTGTGATAATAAAAAAAATAAAAAATATATATATATATATATATATATATATATATATATATATATATATATATATATGCCTCTGGGTTATTATACATATGGGGAAGCGCTAAACCTTTAGGAATCAGGCAACACCTAGCGAATGGGAGGTTATCAGGTTTGCTCTGAGGAAGGGAAGGGTAGCTCCGCCTATCTTGAATCAAGAGCCCCCGCACCACATTAATTCATCTCTTGGCATATTGATATTCCTGGAGTATGTTATTGTGTGATCATTAATGTTCTTCATCAATTAAGAAGAATATTGAGTAACTCAATTACATACATATATGGATATATATGGTTGCCTTTTTGGTTTAAAGCTTATCGATTGCACGAGGGTCATTTTAAGGTTGCATGCCAGTGTTCACCACAAGTCAATAATACTTTAATACCTAAAATAGTGATTAAAATTAACTCTCAGTGTATGTACACACAGACACACACGTGTTGATATCGTAAGCCTTTGTACTCATTTATTTATTTAAATTATATTATTATATATTATTATTATTTTATTATTTGGGTTATGCGAAAAGCGTCCTGGTATCCCTCAGTCTTGCTGTGTTCGAGGTACTCCTCTGGAGCGACAACTTCTGCCAGACCCTTCAGCTGTATAACGAAGGTGCACCACAAGCACGCCAAGCTCACTTTTTTTTTCCCTTTCTGACTTCTGAAGCAATCCATATCCCTTGCTGCAGTTGAATCAGAAACCGATGTTCTCAAATTAGGTCACCAAAAACAATCGGGAATTTTTCTTTCCTACCCCTCAGTGATATTTAACAACCCCCCCAAAAATATCTCCAGTCCTCTCCAACCTTTTCCTTTCCAATTGGGGGGGCCCACACTTACCGTCAGAGGGAATGGTACCCGTGCGCAAAATGGCTAAAACCCTACGGCTAGCAACTCGTGGATGTGGCGTCACCAGCTGAAAGACCTCTCGTCCCTAGGCCTCAATACCAGCGCTTTTCCACCTTTCAACTTGTTCACAGCTTCACTGCTGCGAAAGGGAGGGTTTTGGTGTGGGTGATCTTTGCCACCACCTGCAACCCATCAGGGGTTATTTCAGTCACCTGAAGGAGACGTCATACGCACCTACTGAGTCCTCACACACCTCTCTCCTACTCTAAGACATTCCAGATTCCGAGAGAAATAAGGTTTGCTCTTCCCGATGCTGTGTTGCTGGAGACCATATCTTTCTCAGCCCTGACTGTTCGCTTAATACTCCACTGACTGAGAGACTCCCATTGAAAACAGATGTTTCATTCAGTTATTTATATTTTATTATTGTATTCAAGTATTTATCTTTAGTGTCATATTATTGTTGCATATATTAGTATTTATAATTTTACGTTTTGTATTACAATTTTTTGCGGTGTGGTGACCGTGCATACGGCCTATCAAATTATAGGTACGACTGTAAGAGATCATGATGGCCCAGGAAAGGAGAAAGAGCAACCAGGAAAGCAGTACTTGATGGACACATCCTATACTGTTTGGATTACGCGAAGGATAAGCGCCAGAAAGTAAAGAATTCCTTCACTGCACTGGTTTGCTAGATTTAAAGCATATTGACTGCACAAGAGTCATCAAAACTACATTTTAAGAATACTTTAATCTGTAAAATAGCGATTAAAGTAAACTTCCAGTGTCTATTCACAGCACCAGCTGGAACACACGTCAAGAAACTGAAAAAAATGCAGAAGTTCGCAACCAGAGTAGTCTCAGAGATAACGGGAATGAACCATGTTGAGAGGCTACAGGACAACCGAACCTAGTAACCTTAAAGATAGAAGGACCGGAGAAGACATACTAAAGTCGCTAAAACATATAGAGGATTTGATTGAAAGGACAGGATGGACTCTTCAAGAAACAGGACACGGATACCTGGAGTATACCTGGAGAGAGAGTTCCGGGGGTCAACGCCCCCGCGGCCCGATCTGTGACCAGGCCTCATGGTGGATCAGGGCCAGATTAACCAGGCTGTTACAATTAGGGAAGGGAGGGGGCGTGACAGGCTGCAAGAAAACTGTGGTGTCTACTGACTTGTTATACACAGAGGCTATTCAAATTGATATATCTGTGAGCTATTGTTTATTCCTGTGTACAGTGATGGTGAAGTTCTTCCCAAACAATAAAAAAAAAACGACGAATTTAATGAGATTAGAAAGGTTACAAAAATGCCTGCAATCAAGGAAATAAATGAACACATATGCAACGTTCTGAAAAATTAATTTTTATTTCTAGGCTAAAAAAAATTAAATATTCAGAAATGTTGCATGTTTCATTTACCTAAAGTTTTTTACTCACGAAATTACTAATCTTTTCACTAAGGTATTTGAAGCAGTGAACAATGATAAAGGATAAGAAGAACCCATTACTGAACCAAACATACAAATAACCCGCACATATGAGAGAGGAGCTTACGACGACGTTTCGATCCGACTTGGACCATTTACAAAGTCACACTAGTCCAAGTCGGACCGAAACGTCGCCGTAAGCTCCTCTCTCCTATGTGCTGGTTATTTGTGTATTGTTCCAGTCACGATATTGTGACTTTTTGTTCTTAACTGACCAATAGACAACGGAAAGTTGACATAAATGGGGAGGAAACCTGTTACAAGTGGTGTTCCACAGGAGTCAGTGTTGGGTCCCTTTTTCTCAATCCATATCAGTGTCTTTAGATCAATGGTATATAATAGTGACAAGATAATAAATAAGATAAATGTACAACACTTGGATATCTAGATTGAGAGACGTGCCTCCACCCCACCCCCCGGCTTCACCGTCACCAGGTGAAGCCGGGGATGTGGTCGTCGACTTGAATTTCTTCTAACGTGACTGCTTGATTCACGAAATCGTAATGACACAAGCAAACAAACCATACCATAGGTAGGGTTCGGACCCGCGATCAGAGAATCTCAAAGCTCCAGACCGTCGCGTTAGCCCCTGTAAAAACTTGCATTTGTGGTCACAGTGGTGCCAATGCTAACTTTCTTATGGTGTAGAAATATACCTAGTTGGATGAATCTTATTGAAGCTAGCTGGCCTAGTGGCTAACGCGACGGTCTGGAGTTTTGAGACTCTGATCGCGGGTTCAAACCCACCCGTGGTATTGTTTGTGAGTGCTTCTTGATCTTCTGGAGGCGGAGCTAATGTGGTGGGCTCAGTAGTGCAAGTAGGCATGGGTGCATCAAGGGTGAGTACTTTAGAATTGGTAGAGGGCATTTCTGCATTTGATAGTGAACACTGGAGGTATCAGAATTGAGTAGAGTTGACTTCAAGGAATTTCATCTCAACAAGGCTGTTGAGTTTGAAGATCGAGTTGGCAGCAACGTTGAAGGTATCATAATTCGAGGCGTTTGGACGTGGGAATAGAAAAGGCAGGCGAGGTTTTTTGTGAAGACCCCATCTTTAAAAGACTGAAGATAGGTCCAAGGTTGTAGGAGTAGGACGGTGCTCTGCATACACACTTCTTTACATGTACACCTAAATGTTACCCACATTGTTCAAACATTGTATTATGCTGAAATAAACAATCTCTAATGTGATGGCCGTGAGATCACCACGTCTGACTTTTTTATGGGTTATCCAGGGTAATCTACACATGTGCTGCTATGTATGATAATATATGGAACTGTATTTATGTGTACTTATACCTGAATAAACTTACACCACTGATGTTAGTCCTGGACCTGAGCACCAGAGAAGACAAGCCTGGCTACCAGAGTATTGTCTCCCCCCATTAGCGGATGTTGGATCGAACCTCTAGCAATTCCTGTGTTGGATGACTCACATGGTTTTAAGTTTATTTAGGCACAGGTACACATAAGTGCAATTATCATATATACTCTAAATTACCAAGGATAACCCAAAAAACCTTAGCGATTCATATAAACGCAATCTAGGTTAAGCTCAGTAAGCAGTGGCTTCAGGTCACCGAGTCTATGGTTCACTGTTCACCTAGCAGCAAGTAGGTGTTTGTCGATTAATGTGGGTCGCATCCTGGGGATGAGGATTAATGAAACCCGGTGGAAAAAAAAATAGGGAGTCTCGGTGTTAGCCAAGAAGAGTACCCAGAAGGAGAATGTAGAACATAACTTTGGTATATCTGTGTCTAGCATTAGGAATAATATTAGGAGAGAAGTAAATAATGAAAATGATTGTTATAGGAATGCAGTTAGAAGCCTGAGTAGATCTATAACACACTATGATAATATGAACGTAGATAAGTATGTTTATGGAGCAACGTGCAATGTGAACACTGACTGATGTAGTAGTGGCCAGGCTTAGGCTTTGTTACAAGTACTTCCGGTAGTTTGGGAGAGACACAGATGATGATCAAACTAAATGTAAATTATGTGATCAGGCATATGGTCACTGTCTTGAACACTATGTGCTTAATTGTCCAGTTATTGAGGAATACAGACAAACAATATAATAACCTATGTGACATGTCAAGATATCTTATTAATGAAAATAAGATAGATATACTAAGCAAGTTTCCTAAATTTGCTTGTAACAGATAGGTGAACTGTAGATAGGTAGATAAATAAAAACCCATATGTACACCTAGTAACCCTTTTGGGGCCTAGTTCCTGGGCCTTTTGTGTATCCGTATGCTCTTGTACTACCGTCCACAGGATGGATATGGGGTGCACAAAAAACTAGTCACTTCTGTGGCAAAATGTAATCTAAAAATCCTGATTTTACTGGGTTATCCTAGTTTACTAACCCACTTAATTAATTATCCGAATGAAATCTCTGCGGCCGAAGATTAAAACTGCACCATCGATATGATGATTTAAATGCGTTAGAGCACCACGATAAACGTAACCATGCAGTAATTAGTATGAAAAGGCTGATGCAGCCAGGAGATGATTTGATTTGATTGATTTATTATGCACCCCATACCCATCCTGTAGGCGGTAGTCAAAAGATTACAAAGGTACATAATGGGTCCAGGGACTGGACCCCAAAGTTATAATAGCTGAACTAGTTACAAAGGTAAAGCCAGGAGACTGAACCCTGCAGCTGCCAGCAGAGAGGCGGGACCAGGAGCAGTGACTCGACCCCTGCAACCACAATTCAGTGACTACAATAAAATGAGTCCAGCAAGAGGGATAAAGCACCATCACAAAGATCCTATATAATAAAGTGAAGGCAGAAGCACAGTTTACAGTTTAATATGTTTATTATGCACCCCATACCCATCCTGTGGGCGGTAGTCAAAAGATTACAGAGGTACATAATGGGTCCAGGGACTGGGCCTCAAAGTTTTGATGGCTGAGCAAGTTACAGAGGTAATGAATTCACAATTTACAAAGGTAATGAACTCCAGGTAGGTCTAGTCACAATCATGACAAGTTACAAAGGTATTAACAGATTAGAGGTACACAATGGGTCCAGGGACTGGGCCCCAAAGTTTTGATGGCTGAACTAGGTACAAGGTAATGAATACTGTAAGAATGGTTACTTGCGTTTATACATGGCTACAATCATGAACAAATTTTAGAGTAATGAGCAATTCACACTTCCACACCCGGTCACAACTGTAGTGAGTTATTGGTGCGTACTAGTTTTCTATACTGTGTGAGAGGAGTGTGTGGACGCCGCCTCGGAGTATAAGCGACCTGTACAGTGAACCTCTGTAGTGATGGCTGGACTCCTTGGTGTCGCGTGAATTATTTAAAATTAATCTGTAAGTATGCTTCCTTTGGGAACATTCACCTGTGTGACACGTAGGTGATTAGTAGGCCTTTAGGCCTGCGTAGTGTGAGAGGTGAGGGTGAGAGGGTAAAGACAGGGTGAGGCAATGAAAGGAAGAGTGAGGGATGGTGGAGGTGACGCCGGGGGTGGCAGTCAGCGTTGCTCTACAAGGCTACTCTTAAACCTTGGTGTTAGTGTGGTTCTCTTGATCCTAGGAGGTAGAGTTATCCCCGCCCTCCTCACTTACCGGGATTAAACCTGAGTCCTCATCCCCCACGTTCCTCAGGCGCTGTCTCACCAGCGGGTTTAGTGCTTCCCCCCAGATGAATGCTACGATAAAACTGAGCTGAGCAAAAGTATTGAAGTATACTCCTTTTATATGGCACAAATAATCAGACCATACTCTTATATACTGCACAAATAACCTTAGTATACTCCTGTATATGGTACAAATCTTAGTTTACCCTTGTATATGGTACAAATGATCTTAGTATACCCTTGTATATGGTACAAATGATCTTAGTATACCCTTGTATATGGTACAAATGATCTTAGTAACCCTTATAGGTACAAGATTAGTATACCCTTGTATATGGTACAAATGATCTTAGTATACCCTTGTATATGGTACAAATGATCTTGGTATACCCTTGTATATGGTACAAATGATCTTAGTATTCTCATATATATGGTACAAATGATCTTAGTATACCCTTGTATATGGTACAAATCTTAGTATACCCTTGTATATGGCACAATGGAATTTAGTATACTCTTGTACAGGCCACAAATAAACCCACATTCATGGGGAACTAAACTGTGGGTTTACTTTAGTTTATATATAGTGTAAATTACTGATGAAAACCCATTGGAGTCCTTGGGATATAATATTTAAATCTTAGAAGTTAAAATACCCAAATAAGTCTGTCAAAATCACAATATAAGGAGATAACATAGGAGTAAAGTAAGCTGAATGTGTGGCCTCTTTAGTGCCAAAATATACTCAGTATATAGCTATGTTTTACTTGAATTTATTAATTCAAATTAATAAAATCAGCATGTACATTATTTACATTATCACGTACATTACTTACATCATCATGTACATTATTTACATCATGTACATTATTTACATCAACATTTTATATTATTGTGACCACGAACGAGTGGTATTGATCAATAACAACACTGCACTAGCCAAGGCTCGAACTCATGCTGCTTTGGCCTGCCTCATGGTGGGCGAAAATACATGACGCCCAGATCGCACGGTCCAGTGGATAAGGGCGTCATGTGTTTTCGCCCACCAAGAGGCAGGCCAAAGCAGCATGAGTTGAGTCCTTGCCTAGTGCAGTGTTATTACATCAGCATGTACATTATACACATCAGCATGTGTATTGTATATAGCAGTATGTAGATTATTTACATCCATGGCAATAATTCGCACAATATGTCACTCCTGTAACCTGCTTTATTTTTACTTAAAAAATTAGCCTTCAGCAATTTTTTAATATAATTTACTTTTTTATTGTTTCATAATACCCTAATATGTAACTATTCAGGATATATTTACAGCTATATACAATATTTTGCTTTAGTTACACGAGCTTTATTCAGGTTAACTACATATTGCAGACATGCATTTATACAATGGCATATATGGTGTCTGGCGAGGCATCCAACTTTTTAAATCGTGGATGTCGACTAGTTTTCTAGGTTGATAATTAAGATATATCTGCAATATCAGGAATTTTTTCAGATGAAATGTCCATCAGTCTAGGAGCAAGATGACAAGACTCAGTCTTTGTCTTACTTATCAACTTGTTGATATTATATACTATTTGTGATATGAAGTTTGGGGATGAGGTTATCTATGTAAGTTTTGAAAAACATTTAGTAAGACAGAGGCTATATATTAGACATGACTGGCTGTTACTTAGTAAGAATGGCTGTATTCACAAGGGTCCCGTATTCACAAGGGTACCCCATAGCTTGATCACTAGCGCACTCAGCTCATACACTGAGGTCCGTGATTCACATCTCTGGTACAGCTGGATAACATTAGGACATCTTTCCATAAGACACCTGCTGTCTATGTTCACCCATCAGTATAAAATGGGTACCTGGGTGTTAGTGGACTGGTGTGGGTCACATCCTGGGACAAAACTGACCTAATTTGCCCAAAATGCTCTGCATAACAATGGGCTTTCTATATAGTAGTATGTCATTGATGTCAGCTAGGCCTGTATACCTTGTACAAGTACTTGTAGAAATAGATATAATATTATGTATTATTATAATGGAAATGTCACTTTGACTCTTTTGGGTTATTCTAGGTAATTTACAATTGTTACTATGTATGATAATTTGTGTAACTGTATTTATATGTACCTGTACTTAATAAACTTGCTTGTCTCGAGAGCCAGCTGTCAAATTAAAGAAGTTTATGGAATGTACTACCCAAACTTTGTGCTGCTAAATTTTTTAGATTTACAGTGTGTTCTGTCAAAGACTTTTGTTCACCTTTGAATCATTTTGCAACAAAACTGCACTATTCAAATTTATTTACTCTGCTTAAACTAGTTTTGAAAATAACTGAAAAATCTAGTCAGCAGAAACTTGTAGCAAAGGCAACATAGTTGTTTTACTGTAAAACCGTAGTCTACAATACAGGCAGGTCTCTCTTCAAACGCTTTGCTTTATGGCATCTTGCTAATGCAGTGGTTTTCAGTTATACCCATTCTTCATTTACTCACTTCTTACAATAAATATATTCTCCACTCTCTGTAAGCTAAGGACGAAAATATTTTAAAGTAAGTAATGTGTGTACTGTATATGCATTTTTTAGACCTAACGGGCCTCCAGCAGCAACAGCCTGGTTGACCAGGCAAGCACCAGACGAGCCTGGCCTATGGCCGGGCTCAGAGAGTAGATATACTCTTGAAATTCTTCAAAGGTATATCAAAGGTAGCTCTTTTGCTCACTTACTATATGATAGTGTAAACGTATTATCAGGCTTTTATATGTATGTATTTATATATATATATATAAAAAAGGGCTTATGTTTCACTTTACAGCAATTTTTCCTTTACAGCAGTAGCCCAGAACCTAACTTGCTGTATAAGCAGGGCCCACCGGTAGTGGAAAAAATTTGTTGTGACTATGTTAAACTCATTGATCTTAATTTATTCCATGAGTGCACAAATAGATGAAAGTGTCAGTATATTTAATTTTTGCTGAAAATACCTAGTCACAGCAGAACTTGCAGCAGTGGAATTAAATTATATTAAGATTTATAAATTAAATTGCCTTCTGGAGTTTTAAAAATGTAGGACTTGTATATCAGTTAAAATGGTGCACAAAAGACCTCCCATGCATGATTATTAGTTCTTAAGTGATGCTATGGGGTTCTTGCAAGTAAAGCCTGAAAACAGGCCTATCTAATAAGAATTAGAGTTATTTGCAGGTAAGCTGTATTATTTTTGGCAAACTGTGCTCAGTTTTTATATTGGTTTGCTTTAGGAAAAGGTTCAAAGTGCACTGGTGTAATAGCTGGTAGGGAGTGGCACATGGAAATCGGTAAATAGTTTATTGTTCAACATGTCTAATGGAAGTCACATTTCAGCTGGTGTTGGGTGACGTGCTGGGTTTAGGACTGCAGGTGCTGGACTTCCGCATGAGTTATATGCCCACCTCTGTTCCATACGTACCCTTTCCTGCGCTGTCACCGACACATCAACCATCCACGTAGGTATCATTTTAAGAAAATGCAGTATTATTGTTTCCTGGGATAGGTACAAACCATGAGGGACTTAACCCTTTGAGGGTCCATCCCGTAGATCTACGGCTTTACGTTCAGGGTCCAAACCGTAGATCTACGTCATGAGCTCAGCTCGCTCTGATAAACTGTGAGTGGTACATTTGGGCCTAGATATGAAAGAATACATCTATGTGGTATGTGTGCACCACATAAAACAGATCCTGCAGCACGCTGTGTATAACGAGAGAAAAAAACTGAAATCATGATTTTTCGATTAAAACAGCGACTTTGCAGTGTTTTTTCGTATGTTTTTTATAGTTCTATTTGCGATTTCTTGCTCTCATTTGATAGAATGGAAGACATATTACAGAAATAGAGATGATTTTGATTGGTTTTCGCACTGGAAATGGCTTGAAACCGAGCTCAAAGTAGCAGAAATGTTAAATTTTTGCCGATATTCAAGAATAAACAAACGACCTCACACGTCTAATACACTCCAGCTAGTGGGTCTAATATGCATTCGCAAATATGGTGATGATATTTATACAATTATTACAGTATTGCATAACAGTAAATCTTCTATTTTTTGGTGTGAATAAAAATTCATTATGTGAATAAAAAATCAAAATGGAATTTATTTGTAAAGCCTCAAAACGTAACTAATGAACAGAGGAAATGTTAGTTTAGTTCCAGGAATACCTACATTGTTTATTCTGGACCCTATTTTGAAATTTGAATATTTTGAACTTTGTGTTAAATTGGCCAAATTAACAATTTCCGATCACTTTAATTTGTAGTTGAAACAGTTGACTTGGCGATTTCTTGTGCTCAATCGATAGAATAGAAGTAATACTAGTGAAATAGCTAAGAATTTGGTTGACTGGAATAATGTAATTGGCCTAAAATGGGAGTCAGAGTCGGCAAAATCGCCGATTCGTAAATATCGCTGACACATCAAAATTCGCGAGAGCATAATTTCATCAATTTTCCATCAAATTTCGTACTTTTTGTTTTATTACCTTCACAAAAAGATTCTCTACCATTTCATAAGAAAAAATAAATTTTTTTTTTGAAAATTCTTGGACACTGGGGCACCACTTCAGATTTGGGCCTTGGACCCTGAAGGGGTTAATGCTGTTCATTTCTAATTTTATGAAGGCAGGGTTACCTGTAATCAATTTTGAGGATTTTACTACCCAGCCAGCCCAGCCTTTAGCCAAACTTCTCTGTCAAGTACCTGTTTAACCTGGCTTTGGCTGTTAAGGGGGCCCACTGACCACATAGCTGAAGCTCGATTTTTCCCCAATGGGCTTATGCAAACTTGGTGCACAACAGAATTACATTTGCAAAAACTATCATAAATTGAAGGTAGAAGAAAAAGAACTAGATAAGCACCTATTGGCATGTTTAAGTGAATAGTTCCAAGTTAGATTTTAAAAGGAAGAAGTAGACAGACTGACATTGTTGCCTATTGTATGAGTAAATTGGACTAGAATTCTTCCTCATGCATGTCGTAAGAGGCAACTAAAATGCTGGGAGCAAGGGGCTAATAACCCCTTCTGTATATATTACTAAACTTAGAGAAACTTTCATATTTTTTCTTTTTGGGCCACCCTGTCTTGGATATGGCTGGTTTGTTGCAAGAAAGAAGATTCATGGGAAAGTGCCAAACCCATAGGGGCTTTAAAGTACCTTGGGAAATGGAAAGTAATCAGGTTTGATCTGAGGAAGAGGAAGGAAGGGGTCAGTTGAGAGTTTGGAACAAGAATAAGGGAGAAATATAGCATGATTATATACTAAATGAAGAGTATATACAGCCTCTCCTCACTTAGTGATGTACTCGTTTACTGACGCCTCGGACTTACGATGGGCTCTCTGACCAGTATACATACCTAAACAATGTATATTAGAGCTGATTTCCTCTATTCTGTTTATTACAATATACAATACACTACTGTATAAACATTTAAAAATATACCAGAAATGTTATAAATGGTGCACAGGTGGTATTAAAACAATATCAAAGATGGTTACATAAACCCACTGCCATTATAGAATGCTTCTCGCTTAGCGACGAATTCGTTTAACGACGTGCTCTTACGAATGGAACTCTGTGTATATATTGTGTGATCGATCATTGAATTAAGAAAATCAGCTAAAAGTTTTTAGTATTAAAGTTGAAAAAACTTTTTAACACTACTGCTCTGTGTATTAGTACAAATTATATTTTATTTGAGTGTATTTCTCATAAGCTTTTAATAGTTATGCTATATAAATTTCATCCTTTAATTTGCATTGTATTTTTTATACTCTATATTTTTCATACATATGTGTATGTTAAGGAAGTCATGAAACGGATTAGCCGGATTCTTGTTTTGGAGGAAGTAAGTACAATGCTTGCGTTGTGAAGGATGCTGGTCAAACAAGATGAACAAATATAAACTCATCAACAGGATTGTAACATGAACAAGAGACATGAGGAGGGTATTGAATGCCCATATGAGCCACAGAGATATCAGAAGATATTTCTTCAACATAAGAGCACTGTAGTAGTTAAATGAACTGAAAAATGAAAATGGAAGTGGACTCTATACAAGGACTCAGAACTGTATATTACAGAGCTCTTTCATGTCGGTCAGTCAGAAGTAAGAGTGGAACCAAGGGCTAGAGTTCCATCCCCCATCCTCCTCGAAAACTTGGGTAATTACAAAATATAATTGCTGGACTTGAGTCCTGGAGGTGGGAAGTACAGTACCTGCACTCTAAAGGATGGGTGGGGATATTTACTCTTTGAAGGGTCATCTGAATGGTCTTAAATGCACACCTATGGCAAGAGTTATAGTGTGAATGATGATGAAAGTGTATCTCTTTCAGGTCACACTGCTTAGGTGAGAGATATCCATTATGTAAAAAAATCAAACTACAAATACTAAAACTTTTATGGTTTTTTTTTATTTTGTTTTTTCTTTCTTTTCTTTCTTATAATAATGTAAAGAATCCCTTTTGCACAGGATAAGCATTGCTGGAGGTGTTCCATCATCCAACTCAGCAATCATGACTTCAATGGAAATTGGAGATGATCCTGTTGCAATGGCTGTCATGGAAAACGCAATGGGCCGAATGCCTGCAAAGAAACCCAGAGTGAGTTCTGTGTGCTTGTCAATTCAAGACTTGATAGACTATTTATTATGTTCAGGTAGAGGACAGCTAAGTTTATTTGAAAAACTAAAGAAATAAAAAATAAACGTTTGCCTTTTGAGAAAAGCAGACTTGCCTGCCCATCCCACATGAATGGTAGGGGCTTGAGTATTCTACAGGCATATGTGTGTGTGTGTGTGTATTAGATCAGAGGGAGGGAAAGGTAGATAACCAGTTTTTGGATTTTATGTGCTGTTGGGGTGTTGACTGGATAACTTTTAAAGATGTACTTGAATGGTATACAATACCAAAAAGATGAAAATTAGACGTGCAACATCTGGTTATTTTTATTGTATACATTTCACCATCCAGTGGCTTTATCAGTAAAAGTTCAAGGACATGATTGGAAGACAGTAGAACTGAGGGACTGATTACCTTATCTTTTGTATGTTCTACTGTCTTCAAATTATGTCCATAACTTAGGGTTTTATAAGGGTCATTTTAATTATGATGTCCACACATTTTTGGCAAGTGTTTCCTTTTTTGGGCTGAACTACCTTGGTAGATAATGGTGAGACAGAAACCACATATTTTTAGAAGTCTATCTGTTGAGTATTGTGCATACTGTATCTAAGTTTTATTTTCTTACTTTCAGTATTTCAACTCTATTTTTCTCGCAGGTGACAGTTCGATGTGAAGTTTGCAATCTGGAATTCTCTTCACAGACAGTTCTAGATTCCCATACAGCTGGCTCAAAACATCAGCGAAAGTAAGCTACTTGCCTTCCTCACACAAGTTTTATACTGCTGGTAAACTTTTAAAGTATCCAAGCAATGTTACAATAAGTTCCTCAAATTCACTTATCCTCCTTGGTGATCAATTTTTTTTTCATTTGGTGCTTATTATATACTATCTTTTGTCAGTCTCTATTTTGGCTTCCTCCTGTGGCATTTGAACTGTCGCATCTACGCTCCTTGGGCAAGACAGTGATAGTGTGAATGATGGGGCAAGTGGGTTTTTTTTTTTTTTTTTTTTTTTTTTGGGTCCCTCTACCACAGTGGGAGACAGCCAGTGTTATAAAAAAGTGTGTGTATATTAGTCAAACTAAAATGTAGAAACATTAAGTATATCTTTGAGTGTTTCTGCATTGTAATTCACTGAAAGAGAAGCAATTCTTATTGATATAAATATCTTTTATGAATGTTCCTTATATATATATATATACAAACTGCAAAATAAAGATAGGAAATATTATGTAAATGCATTAACACAACGGTTTAGCAATGCTTAGGAGAAATGAGTTTGACAGATAAATGACACATAATGTAATTATTAATGGAAAGTGGAGAGCCTGTGAGATTGAAATAGTAGGTCAACCTGATTCCTCATTGTTGATAGCTTTCTGTGAATTGTCACAAAAGCACAACTGATCACTCTTAATCTCTCACCGTTATGTTTGCCTATGAACAGTGCATGATATACAAAGTAATATACTGATATCTTTTACAGGTTAAATCAAAGGATTTATTGAAGACTTTGGAAGAAACAGAGAAAGGGTTTGAGCGTGATGAAGTCAGTGGGGTTATCAGATGCATTGTGTGTGATGTAACGGTCAATTCACCTCAGTTATTAGCCACACACATTGCAGGAAACAAGCACAAGCAGCGTGCAGCAAAACATGCCAATCAAGGGTCCACCAACGACCCTCCGCCAAAGAGACTGCGCACGACAGCACCTGGTAAGTGGTGTGGAATTTCTTCATACATGGTTAGGTTTGTCAGGAAACAGAACAAGTGTTCCTTACATGGGTTTTAATCATATGATGACTCGCATCTCGTGCTTTTTGTCACCTGACTGAGGCTTTTCGTTGGCTTACCCCTCCACCCTTTTAAAAATTATGGCTATAATTATAACATACTTTTGTTTTTCTTTTTGGGCCACCCTGCCTTGGTGGGATACAGCTGGTTTGTTGAAAAAAAAATTATAACAGTCGTTAATATTTAGATTCATTCTGCTTTTCCACTTCTCTTTACCAGAGAACTTTACAAGAAAAATTTTTAATAAATAATATGCTATATTCTGTATGAGGATCTCTCACATGTCTACAAGAGAGCAGATTAGGAGGATCAAGAGAGTGGAAAATGAGGAGCAAGAAACTGGGTTGGGCAGCTAGACTAGGCACATTGTGTTCAGTAAAAAAGGAAAGAAGGAAGTATGATAAAGCTTGACAGATTCAACAATTAAACTGACTACATCACATGTCCTGTAAGATTATCTTTTATTTTGTAAATGTCACTTCCAATTTTGGAAAAAAAAAAATTAACCCTGGTGGACAAGTTTTGTCTTCTCATCATTTTTATTGGATGTTTATTATATTAATCACCACTAAAAAAAAATAGAAGTAACCTAACAGTTTAATGAGGTAAGCCATTATTGATAAAAATAATTTAGATGAAAATTACTAAATGTAAAAGGAAGAGAAGCTTTATGAACTGTTTCTTCTTTTCCGGGTCACCCTGCCTCTGTGGGAGATGGCCGCTGTGTTAAAAAATATAAATTAGATGGAAATACGTAATCACGTTTATTTTGGGTATGATACATGGCCCGCAATAATAAAGTTTCTAGTTCACTTCTGCACTTTTTTGTTGGGTAAACTGGTTGACTTGTGGCAGATGATATACAGTAAACTCTTAAAAATATTTTGTACATAGTCGAAAAGTCCAGTGTGTAAAAAAGCTCTTGATGGTGAAATAATCATATCAGACCTGATCTTGGCTCTTAGCATGGTTGAATTGTGAAATTTTTATTCTAAAGGTGAAATGGAAAGAAATGTTAGTATACTGTACTGTCACTTAATTCTCAGTGTCCATTCGTTTTATGAGAAGTTCGATAGCCAGGATAAACCAAGTAATAGCTAGCAGCTTAGTACTAAGAATGTCATTACGACTGAAGGTACTGTGGGTGATGAATGTTACATGTCATGATTTGGCTATGACAAAATAACCAATATATTTTACTAACAATGATGGAGAATAAAAAGGCCCGATACCTTGACTGGAGCAGTACACAAATAACCTGCACGTAGGAGAAAGAAACTTATGACGATGTTTTGGTCCGACTTGCACCATTAACTAAGCAATGGTCTAAGTCTAGCTGAAGTCATCATAGGTTTCTTTCTCATATGTACAGGTTAGTTGTGTAATGATGGATTACTCAAAATTGTAAATTTTAATTCATACAGCTGAGTTAATTAAAAGAGTAATGCATGCAGTAGGAGGGAAAGTAGAAGACTAGCATGTTTTCTCTCAACACTAATGTCTCTTCTTTAGGAGATGCTTCAGTTTCATATACAAACTAGCATTCACTTGTATTTACTGCCAACTTCTCTTCAGTGTAAACAAATGGTGACACCCCCCCCCCCACACAACCCCCCACACACCCACACACACACCCCACACAACCCCCACACCCCACACACCCCCACACACCCCCACACACCCCCACACACCCCCACACACACCCCCACACACACCCCCACACACCCCCACCACACCCCCACACACACACCCCACACACACACCCCCACACCCCCACAACACCCCACACACACACCCCACACACACCCCACACACACCCCCACACACACCCCCACACACACCCCCACACACACCCCCACCACACCCCCACACACACACCCCACACACACCCCCCACACACCACCCCACACACACACCCCCACACAACACCCCCACACCACACACCCCACACAAAACACCCCACACCACACACCCCCACACACACACCACACCCCCACACACAACACCCCACACACACACCCCACACACACCCCCACACACACCCCACACACACACACACCCCACACACACACACCCCCCACACACACACCCCACACACACACCCCCACACACACACCACCCCCAACACACACACACCCCCACACAACACACACCCCCACACACACACACCCCCACACACACACACACCCCACACACACAACACACCCCACACACACACAACCACCCCCACACACACACCCCCCACACACCACACACACCACACACACACACACAACAACAACACACACACCACACACACAAACCGCAGCACACACCACCACCTGCCAGCAACTTCTTGAATACACCCTCACACATGAATAGCAATCCGCCATCACCAAGCTGTCCCCACAGCTCAACCCACCAAAAAGACGACAACTGCAACCACGACCAGGCGACACACAACAGAAATGCGCGCCACGGTACTGACCTACCATGGTCCAGCAACTGCTTCTTGAATTTAACCCTGCCAACAATGCAAGTCAGAAGATTGGAGAAGGCAATAGAAGACGCAGAAATAGGCAGGTGGCCAAAAGTGCAAAACCTATCCAGAGCAAAGGAAATGTCTTGGGGTAGTGATAATTCTGAACACATCTCCTGAGGCGCACATCAATCAGATAATTGCTGCAGCATACGGGCGTCTGGCAAACCTAAGAATAGTTTTCCGATACCTCAGTAAGGAATCATTGAACACTCTCTACACCATGTACATCAGGCCTATATCGGAGATGCAGCACAAGTTTGGAATCCCCACCTAGTCAAGCACGTCAAGAAATTAGAGAAAGTGCAAAGGTGTGCAACAAGACTAGTTCCAGAGCTAAGGGAAATGTCCTTCAAAGAAAGATTAAGGGAAATCGGCCTGATACTGGAGTACAGGAGGGCCAGGGGACATGATAACGACATATAAAATACTGCAAAGAATTGACAAGGTGGACAAAGACAGGATGTTCCTGAGATGGAACACAGAAACAAGGGGTCACAATTGGAAGTTGAAGACTACTATGCCTATGAGTCAAAGGGATGTTAGGAAGTACTTCTTTAGTCATAGAATTATCAGGAAGTGGAATAGCCCAGGAAGTGATGTAGTGGAGGCAGGAACCATACATAGTTTTAAGACAAGGTTTAATAAACCTTAAGGAGCTGGGAGAGAGAGGACCTAGTAGCAATCAGTGAAGAGGCAGGGCCAGAAGCTATGAATCGACCCCTGAAACCACAAATAGGTGAATACACATACACATACACATACATACACACACACACACACACACACACACACACACACACACACACACACACACACACACACACACACACACGCACGCATGAGCATGAAGAACAAGGGAAAATATTGTCACAATATACAACATAATGGAACAGGCATGGCAGACGAGGGTAGGCTGTTTATTAGAGGAATACATAAGAAATTCTGAAGACTATGATATATGTCAAGATTATCAGATGTATACTGCCAGCATAGAATCAATAATATATCTAAACTGTTGGAAATGGCATCAAAGCACTTGGATTATTCTACCTAGAATGGGGAAGAGAGAGAGAGAGAGAGAGAGAGAGAGGTTCTTTATAATATGTGCATTGAAGATACCTGTAAGAATTTACCAGATTGAAAGATTTGGGAGAAAATGTGGAATAAACCTGGTGAAGAGCAGAAATTGCCATGGGTACAATTAGAGAACATTACATCAATATCCATGACCCAAGATTTCAATATACTTCCAGCAGTTATTCCAATTGATGTTAGAATGATGATCAAAGTTTTCAAGAAGCAGCTGGACTGCTTCCTTCTCCAGTTGCTGTATCAGCTGGGTTGTGATGGTTGTGCAGGCCTTTTAATACTAGCACAAACAGCCTGGGTAACCCAGGTGGGTCATTGGGAAAGCCAGGCCATGGGTCAGGCTGCAGGGATAGAAGAGCCCATGAAACTGGTCATGGATAAAGCAGAGGTATTTGATGAAAACTAACTACCATCTATTTACCTTAATTCTGCATAGAAAGGTTGGAAATGAACAAGAGTAAAAAGTAAATACTTTAATAGTGTAAGCTAATACAGAGTTATTTCATGTGATTCCTAAACCAACATTCAGAATTCTTTAGGAAATATAGACAATGTAATATTGTAAGTTACTGTACCTCATTGTGTGAAAGACCAGTAACTAAAGTATATGAAGTGGAGCACTGCTATGAACTTATCACATCTTTCTGTATTCTCATTTTTTGGTTTTGCATGCTGCCTGATTATACAAAGTTGGCTTAATTATTAACAGTGAAAATATATGAAAAGGCATCTCAAAATAAGTTGATTTATCCATGTGTTTGTAGATGATCTCTTTCTAGAACTTTTTGTTGAGAATGCATTTTAACCAAGGTGTTCACATGTTTTAAAAATTTGCCAAAATATGAATGTTCCCATCATATCACTGGAGTGAGTGGACTAAATTCATGAAGGTGTTTCCAACTTAGGGATGGAAGATGGTGTTGGGGACATCCAAGGAAGAGTTTAAAGGGTTGAATATCCAGCAGTTAATTTGTAACTGCAGTATTTACTAAACCTTGTCTGTATGTTGGTGATTGGTAAGGTACATGATAATGATTGGGAGAATTAGAAAATAAATGTTAAGCCAGTTAAGTTGCTTCAAAAATTCAGTGACCACAATGTGTATACTTCATATTGATGTAGAAATCCTTGATGTGATGAGCATCCATTCTTGCACATGTTTTGCAGTAACTATGCTCATCCCTCACAAGCTGTTTCCACACATAATACACAGTACACCCTCAGCTTAACACTCCTCGATTTAACAAACTCTGGAAATACTGGATAAAATCTGCTGGGTCTGGGAATTGAAAACAATAGTTAAAGTTTGGTGGTTACAGATTTGTCAGTTATTGCTATAATCTCTGCAAAAAGTCTCGTCTATATACCACAGTTTCCATTACCAGTCCACTGCTCCTCCCTATAAGTCCAGTAAATTGAGAATATACATATACTGTATTGTATAACTGTGTATAGTAATATGTATTTTTCATCCCCCCTTGAGTTTTGTTCTGTTTTTTTTTTTTTTACTGCACTGCCTACCTTTCTAGTCATTGTGGATTTTTGGTGTTCTGCTATAATTCACGTTTTGAGAGATTCACTGTGTTGTTTGAGTATGTACATTGTAATGCCTATGAAGGGGTTCAATTAAACCAATTAACTGGATTTGGAGATTGAGTGCAATGCCTACTTGTTAAAAGATTAGTGTACATACTGGTGCTTCGTTAATCCTCATTGGTGCATAATGTCTGTGCTCTTCTGGAGAAGTAGCTTTGGAGCAAATGATGGTGAACGTTTTTTTTAACTTGTTCTTGGTGTTGAAAATAATCTTAATGATGTAAGTCAACCTTGGGTTATATGCACCATTTAATGGATGTTTTTGATAATGCATGTTGTCTAAATATGCCCATTTTTCTTATAACCTAAACCATCTTGAAAGCTAAGTAATATTATCATCATTAAAGATACAAACTAAACTTTCACACACTGTGAACATAGCATGAGAAAGCTGGAAATGTGGCTGAGAGCTTCAGTAAGTGCCATTCACACCACCACACTTGAGTGAAATATCCAAAGCAATACCTCAGTGAAGGCCTCATGTTCATTCAGATTTGTTTAATTTTGCTTTATTTCTCAGATGATTTCAATATATAAAACTTGTATTTTCTAAGCTTCGCATTAACCCTTTCACTGTCTGTCACAGATCTACGTTATTGATGTCAGGGACCCCTCACACAGATCAACATCTCGAGCTCAGCTCACTCAGATAAGCTGAGAGAGGTAAATTTTGGCCTAGATATGAGAGACTGGGTCTGTGCATTGAGTGCACAGTATAAAAAAAAATCCTGCCCCGTGTCGTGACCTCGTGTTTGTTTTAAAAAAAAAAAATGAATTTGAGATGTTTTCTTGGATGGATTTTATGATTTTATTGGCTCCTGTAGCATTTGAAAGAATGGTAGACATACTACTGAAATAGAGATGACTGGTTGATTCCAGGAAAGTGGCTTGAAATTGGTCTCAAAATAATGGAAATAGTATTCAAATTTGCCAGTTTTCCTTAGGATAGGTAAGGCATGCATACACCCCCAGTTTGCTTTATAGGTTTATAGGTCTGATTAAATTGAGATGCCATAATCAATCATTCCTGGTTACATTTTATTGTCTGCAAATAGATAAATCTTTGATTTTTTTGTGTGATGAATTCAAAATGGAAGAAGCCTGGGGAAATGATTAATGAACACAGGAAATGTTGTTTAGTGCCTGGAATGTTTGCACTGTATATTTTGGACTTTTTAAATTGTAATTTTTTAATTTAGTCCAACTTACTGACTTCTGTGCATTTTATATAGTTTTTATAGTTGAATGGGCAGTTTCTTGTTCTCGGTTGATAGAAAGGAAGGCATACTAGCAAGATAGCTAGAAATTGATCAGACTGAGAAATTGAATTGTCTTAAAATAGGACAAAGTGGGCAAAATCGCCGATGCTTAAATTGTTCCCAAACCATTAAATTTGCGCCTGCATAATCCCTTAAGTTTTACATTGAGTTTGCGCTTTTGGTGTCTTTACTTTAAGAAAAAGATTCTCTACCATTTCAGAAGATTTTGTTTTTAAATGTGGCCCCTGATTATATTTAATTTGGGTGTTGTAGACAGTGAAAGGGTTAAGGAACCCAGTTTGAATATATAACTGCCACACGTTAATGTTCAGATTCTCGTATAATGTAAATAGTACGGTATTTATATTTTTTAGAGGTATAAAGCCTCCATTTTCCATGGGGAAGTGGAATAGAATTCTTCCTCAGTAAGCCATGCATAAGAGGCGACTAAAATGCCGAGAGCAAGGAGCTAGTAACCCCTCCTTCTTTATACACTGTCAAAGTTAAAAAGAAACTTTCTTTTTTCATTTTGAGCCACCCTGTCCTGGTGGAATACGGCCAGTTTGTTTAAAGAAGATCAAGCCTACGTTTGTATTTTAAAGTCGATTGTATCACATTCACAAAGCGTATCAGGTTCACATCAGGTAACTACGATAAAGTATTTCCGAATATAAACATTTTTTGCATGCCAGTACAGAAACGATAAGTTATCCTTTGAGTTTTTTTTTCTTTGACTTTTCTGAAAGTAGTTTGTGAAATTTTTTAGAAGAAACTGCAAGAATTTGTTTTTATTTCTTCAGTCTTAGATAAGTTGTAAAAATAACAAGACAAAGGCTTGGATAATTCATGTGATCCCTATGCCTCTTTGTGGTACAGATATATTCTTGGATAAGGTGTGTTTTTAAGGTGTTGGATTGGTTATCTATATTTCTCCTTTCTTCCTCTTTCCCATCTACTGATATGATTGAATAATCAAGCATGATAATCGGTCAGGACCATTGGGTGAGCTGATAAAAAGACCGATTCATCATTGCCTCTTTTCTGATTATCAATCATCTTCACTGTAGGGGTCACAGGCCAGGATGCTACCACGGGCTGTTCCAATGGTGGGCCTCGTAACACTGGATCTAGCTCCAACATGGAGATACCAGAGTGTGTCACCAAATTAGAGGATACAAAAGGAGGTGGAAAATATCTGTGCAACCCTTGCCAGGCTCACTGTAATTCAGAGCCACAGTTAGCTCAGGTAAGGTTCAGATTTCATAATACAAAAGCTTTCAAAAAATATTTAACATTTGATTATTTTACTATCTTCACTTATATACAGTATTATCTTCAGATGTGTTGAGGTTTTTTTTTTTTAATACAATAATAATAATAGGTAAGCCTCCTTTGGTGGGAGATAGCCAATATGTTAAAAATATTAGATCGATAATAAACTTTTATACTTATTTGAATATCAATAGAGGTAAAATAAGCAAAAAGTTGCATTCACTGCATTGCAGAAGATCTGGAAAGATTGTAGCTGGTAATTATGTCTTATAGGGCTTGCGATAAAGAAACTGTAGTAAAACTCTCGTATCCCAATTAGTGTGAACTTTGTCCTGCTGACATGAGATTGACCTGCTTTAAAGTGATGAGTTAGGTTTGTCTTCCCTCCGTAATTCCCATATTTAAAATCTCGCCTAACCCTGTCCCCTCACCTTACCTCCCAGACTTCATCTCATATCTCACCCCTAGGACCATTCCTTTTCACCACCTTAGACCTCTTATGAGCTTAACCTTAGAGTGCTTGTTTGCTTTGTAATTTGGTATATTTTTGTAAACTTGATAAAATTCAGCCCTAGACGAAATATTGTAGCAGTAATAAAGATATTTTTTAATTTGTTGGCTTCTGCCATCATAAACCAACAGAGCCAGTAATGGCCAATGTTAGGTAATTGCATCTCATAGGTATGGAGTATCTTAGGCTACCTCCTTGAAATAACACTTGGCCACCTCACAGAAAACACCTCACCATTTATAAAATGTGATAATCTTAATTCTTCTTTTCAGTTCCTCTGCAGGAGTGTGTAAACATACAAAAGCATTTTTATTTTTATTATGTTTTTCATGTAAGTACATGTTTACTCATCTGTATGTGGTTACATGGGTTGAGTCTTAGCTGCTGGCCCTGGCCCCACTTTACTGCTCGCCATATTCGCTCCCTTTCAGTCTCGTGGCTTTATCATGCCTGTGCAGAGTTGTGCTCTTGATGTCCCATCTTTTCATTTTTCATTGTGTATTTTTTTTTAAATTTCTAATGGTTGTATAACATGCTACTTCCTTTTATCAATGTTTTCAAGGAAAAATTCTTAATATTACTTCGGGGTGAGTGGAGACAAGTGGTAACATTTATATAAGGGGATTCGAGGAAACTGGTTAGCTGGACTTCGGTAAAAAATACAGTACCCTTAAATTGTAACATTTCCATCCCTCTGAATGAAGGATGGGAATGTTCAGTTTAAGGAATTATCTGAATTATGATTCTGCACACTTCCGGTAAGACAACTATTGAATGAATGGTAATGTATTTAGTTTCCTGGTGGTCACCATATCTGGGTAAAGCTGAAGGGGTGAACAGCACCATGCTGTAACTTCATTCCAGTAGGATCAGAGACCATCGGAGCATGGGAGAGGTGGGCACAAGTTTGTGAAGGAGTTAAATGACTAACTCATCAGGGAAACCAAGTATCCCAGAGCAACCAGCTTTCTTTTCCAGACAATATTGTGACCCAGAAAGGAATTACCTGCAGCTTCTTGGGCACACAGCCTGCCTCCAGGGAGTTTCAATAGTGTGTTGTGATGTCATACATGTTACTTTCATTTTGGAAGACATTTCTGTATGAAACTACATCTACAGGCAAGAGAAAATTTAATCTTGATTTAAGGAAGCAAAGGATCATTTTAGCTTGTTTGCGTGCTAATACAGTTGACCATTGATTAGCACATTAACTTCATTCCCAAACAAAGCGTGCAAAGAAAAAATTGTGTAAAATGAAATGAAGTTTGTTTGGGGAAAATAAGGGTACATTCAATGAACTTCCCCAAAAATGCAAAACAGCTTGTTTCTTCAACCTTGTTATTGCATAAGTGTTAGTAGATCACATGTTAATTGATGGCCTTCTTTACATCAGGCAATTTTAAGTGCCAGTTTGTTTATTGCATTCAGAATCCCTGTACTTTAAAAGGTAAAGACAGGCATTTGCCCATTGTTTGTTTGTCCAGAAACTTGAAAAAAACAAAGGACCACAGTGAGACTAGTCCTGGAGATAGATTAATATAGCATTTATATACCCAGTGTGTATTAAATGTTTGGCATGTAGCAGTCACCTTATTACTAAACTTGTTTCTGAATTAACTTGCAAGAATGTAGGTGACAAAAAAAATTCCATAATTGGCACAAATGTATGGAGAAAATCGAAACAAATCCAGCAGTGTCATGTTTCATGAAATGTACACAAGAGAAGAGACTATAATATAATATTTTTAATAATGCCAAGTTGAATAATGACTGGTAAGTAGGTTGGTAGACAGCAACCACCCAGGGGGTACTACCGTCCTGCCAAATGAGTGTGAAACGAAAGCCTGTAATTGTTTTACATGATGGAAGGATTGCTGCTGTATTTTGTCTCTCATAAATATGCAAGATTACAGGTACGTCTTGCTACTTCTACTTACACTTAGGTCACACTACACATACATGTACATGTTTATTTATACACACTCATCTGAGTTTTCTTTGATTTTATTCTTAATAGTTCTTGGTCTTTTTACTTTTCCTTTCATATCCATGGGGAAGTGGAATAAGAATCTTTTCTCCGTAAGCCATGCATGTTGTAAAAGTCAACTAAAATGCCGGGAACAGTGGGCTAGTAACCCCTTTTCCTGTAATAATTACTAAAAAGAATAAGAAGAAAATTGTCAAAGTGGGAAGTCTGAATGTGCGTGGATGTTGTGCAAATGATAAGAAAGAGATGATTGTGGATGTTATGAATGAGAAGAAGCTGGATGTCCTGGCTTTAACCCTTTCAGGGTCCAAGGCCCAAATCTGGAGTCACGCACCAGTGTCCAAGATATTTAAAAAAAAAAATTTGTTATTTTTTCTTATGAAATCATAGAGAATCTTTTTGTGAAGGTAATAAAACAAAAAGTACGAAAATTGGTGGAAAATTGACGAAATTATGCTCTCGCGAATTTTGATGTGTCAGCGATATTTACGAATCGGCGATTTTGCCGACTTTGACTCCCATTTTAGGCCAATTACATTATTCCAATCAACCAAATTCTTAGCTATTTCACTAGTATTACTTCTATTCTATCGATTGAGCACAAGAAATCGCCAAGTCAACTGTTTCAACTACAAAATAAAGTGCTCGGAAATTGTTAATTTGGCCAATTTAACACAAAGTTCAAAATATTCCAATTTCAAAATAGGGTCCAGAATGAACAATGTAGGCATTCCTGGCACTAAACTAACATTTCCTCTGTTCATTAGTTATGTTTTGAGGCTTTACAAATAAATTCCATTTTGATTTTTTATTCACATAATGAATTTTTATTCACACCAAAAAATAGATGGTTTACTGTTATGCAATACTGTAATAATTGTATAAATATCATCACCATATTTGTGAATGTATATTAGACCCACCAGCTGATGTGTATTAGAGTGTGAGGTCGTTTGTTTACTCTTGAATATCGGCAAAAATTTAACATTTCCGCTACTTTGAGCTCAGTTTCAAGCCATTTCCAATGCTAAAACCAATCAAAATCATCTCTATTTCTGTAATATGTCTTCCATTCTATCAAATGAGACCAAGAAATCGCAAATACAACTATAAAAAACATACGAAAAAACACTGCAAAGTTGCTGTTTTAATCGAAAAATCATGATTTCATTTTTTTTCTCTCATTATGCACAGTGTGCTGCAGGATCTGTTTTATGTGGTGCACACATACCACATAGATGTATTCTCTCATATCTAGGCCCAAATGTACCACTCACAGTTTATCAGAGTGAGCTGAGCTCATGGCGTAGATCTACGGTTTGGACCCTGAACGTAAAGCCGTAGATCTACGGGACGGACCCTGAAAGGGTTAAGTGAAACAAAGTTGAAGGGGGTGGGAGAGTTTCAGTGGAGAGGAATAAATGGGATTAAGTCAGGGGTTTCAAATAGAGTTAGAGCTAAAGGAGTAGCAATAATGTTGAAGGATAAGTTATGGCCGGAAAAGAGGGACTACAAATGTATTAATTCAAGGATTATGTGGAGTAAAATAAAGGGTGGATGTGAAAAGTGGGTTATAGTAAGCATATATACACCTGGAGAGGAGAGAGAGAGATTTTGGGAAATGTTGAGTAAATGCGTGGGGAGTTTTGAACCAAGTGTGAGAGTAATGGTGGTTGGGGATTTCAATGCTAAAGTGGGCAAAAATGTTGTGGAGGGAGTAGTAGGTAAATTTGAGGTGCCAGGGGTAAATGAAAATGGGAAGCCTTTAATTGAGCTATGTGTAGAAAGAGGTTTGGTAATAAATAATACATATTTTATGAAGAAGAGGATAAATATACAAGGTATGATATAGCACGTAATGAAAGTAGTTTTAGATTATGTATTTGTGGATAAAAGGTTGATGGGTACGCTCCAGGATGTACACGTTTATAGAGGGGCAACTGATATATCGGATCATTATTTAGTTGTAGCTACAGTTAGAGTAAGAGGTAGATGGGAAAAGAGGAAAATGGCAACAACAAGCAAGAGGGAGGTGAAAGTGTATAAACTATGGGAGGAGGAAGTTCGGGTGAGATATAAGCAACTATTGGCGGAAAGGTGGGCTGGTGCAAGTATGAGTAGTAGGGGGGTTGAAGAGGGTTGAAATAGTTTTAGAAATGCAGTATTAGAATGTGGGGCAGAAGTTTGTGGTTATAGGAGAGTGGGTGCAGGAGGAATGAGGAGTGATTGGTGGAATGATGAAGTAAAGGGTGTGATAAAAGAGAAAAAGTTAGCTTATGAGAGGTTTTTACAAAGCAGAAGTGGAGAGTAAAAGAAAGGTTGAGAGAGTGCAAAAGGAGAGCAGACGATAGTCTGAGAGGCACTGTCGAGAAATTTTAATGAAAATAAGAAAAAATTTTGGAGCGAGTTAAACAAGTTAAGAAAGCCTAGAGAACGAATGGATTTGTCAGTTAAAAAACAGAGTAGGGGAGTTAGT